TGTTGTCCCTAAATTTTTTTCTCCATTTGTATGGTGACTACTCTCTTTCCTATGAATTTTATTGTATAACATAACCTTCTACAATAATGCTTTTAAGAAGTCATATAACGACTTTTTAATTAAAACTAGATGAAATCCTGCGCCAGCAAAGGGGGAAAAAGCTACTGCTGACTGATCAATAATATACATTGTATCTTTGTACTTTCTAATGACAGTTAATTAGAAGGTTTATAGCGGGAAAAAATACTTTGTACAAATCCCTACAAAGATATCAGGAGTAGATCTTAAAGTAGATAATTAAGATTGGTCCCTTCTTTCATTTTTTCACCTTCAAAATATCAATCTTATTTATTGACATTTTCTCTATTCAATTTTATTTTGATTCCAGTTGTACTGCTATTCATTTGTACTTCAAGTATACTCTGTTTCCAAATTCATCAATGATAAAAGAAAGGGAAAGCGCACATCTTATTGTATATGTCAGCACATATTAAAGATTATCTTTCTTCCCCTTTTTTGTTTATCAGAGACATATAATAGAGGGATATACGTCTCTGTGTTCATATAAGACTATATAGACGACAAAAAAAAAAAAAAATCTGAAATCATTCAAGCACAGACTTTGTGAAATATTTACATATATTATGAAAATATTTGTAGAAATTGTATGAGTCATGTCATTGATCTAAAAAGAAAAAAAAAGAAAAAAAAAATCCATGACATTTTAAAAGTGACAAAGTAAGAGGGGATTTTAATTAAATCTCTCCTAGAATAATGACAATAAGATCCAACATAAATGAAGGGAATATATTTGCGATCCGCGCTTCTAAACAACAGAAACGCGCATTCTGAAGTTTTATGAGTGAGTGGCTCAAAACAGTTTTTAATCCACTGGGTTTGTTTACAGCATAAACAAAACCAGGAACATTTAGCAACTGGTACCACTTACACTACCCATTAAGAATGTAACTCGAGTGCATCAACTATATCCACTTCTCTCTTTGGCAACGTCTATCATATTCACTTTAAAATTTTAAGATTACAAAGAGACAATAAAATAAACTTACTATCTTGAAACTGGGAACTGCTGGCAAGAACACTTCAGTCGCTGTTGTTTCTTGGTTTCCATCAAAGCCAAGATTAAGTACAAGTCATATTCTGAAGTTTTATGAGTGAGTGGCTCAAAACAGTTTTTTTTAATCCACTGGGTTTGTTTACAGTATAAACAAAAACAGGGACACTAGCAACTGGAACCACTAACACTACCTATTCAGAATGTGACTTGACTGCATCAACAATGTCCACTTCTCTCTTGGGCCATGCTCATTATATCCAACTGAAAAATTCAAAATTAGGGAAAAAACAATATAATAACCTAGCACTGCCCATCATATTCAATTCAGAAACGGAAAATACAAAGACACAATAAAATTAACTTACTATCTTTAATCTTGAAAAGGGATACTGCTGGCAAGTACACTTCAATCGCTGATGTTTCTTTGTTTCCATCAAAATCAAGATTAAGTACAAGTCATATTCTGAAGTTTTATGGGTGAGTGGCTCAAACCAGTTTTTAATCCACTGGGGTTGTTTACAGCATAAACAAAACCAGGGACATTAGCAACTGGTACCACTAACACTACCTATTCAGAATGTGACTTGACTGCATCAACAATGTCCACTTCTCTCTTGGGCCATGCTCATTATATCCAACTGAAAAATTCAAAATTAGGGAAAAAACAATATAATAACCTAGCATGTTTCTTGGTTTCCTGCCAAGATTTAGTACAATCATATTCTGAAGTTTTTTTGAGTGAGTGGCTTAAAACAGTTTTTTTAATCCACTGGGTTTGATTTTAAGCATAAACAAAATTCAGAAACGGAAAATACAAAGACACAATAAAATTAACTTACTATCTTTAATCTTGAAAAGGGATACTGCTGGCAAGTACACTCCAATCGCTGATGTTTCTTGGTTTCCATCAAAGCCAAGATTTAGTACAAGTCATATTCTGAAGTTTTATGAGTGAGTGGCTCAAAACAGTTGTTTAATCCACTGGGTTTGTTTACAGCATAAACAGAACCAGGGACATTAACAACTGGTACCACTAACACTACCTATTCAGAATGTGACTTGACTGCATCAACAATGTCCACTTCTCTCTTGGCCCATGCTCATTATATTCAACTAAAAAGTACAAAATTAGGGAAAAAACAATATAATAACCTAGCACTGCCCATCATATTCAATTCAGAAATAGAAAATACAAATAGACAGTAAAATTACTTACTATCTTTAATCTTGAAAAATACTGCTGGCAAGTACACTTCAATCGCTGATGTTTCTTGGTTTCCATCAAAGCCAAGATTTAGTACAAGTCATATTCTGAAGTTTTATGAGTGAGTGGCTCAAAACAGTTTTTTAATCCACTGGGTTTGTTTACAGCATAAACAAAACCAGGGACATTAGGAACTGGTACCACTTACACTACCTATTCAGAATGTGACTTGACTGCATCAACAATACCCACTTCTCTCTTGGGCCATTCTCATTATATCCAACTGAAAAATACAAAATAAGAAAAAAAATAATATAATAACCTAGATCATATTCAATTCAGAAACAGAAAATTACAAAGAGAAAATGAAATTAACTTACTATCTTTAATCTTGAAAAGGGATACTGCTGGCAAGTACACTCCAATCGCTGATGTTTCTTGGTTTCTATCACAGCCAAGATTTAGTACAAGTCACATTCTGAAGTTTTATGAGTGAGTGGCTCAAAACAGTCTTTTAACCCACATGGTTTTTTTTTATAGTATAAACAAAACCAGGGACATTTGCAACTGGTATCACTTAAACTACGTATTCAGAATGTGACATCAGTGCATCAACAATGTCCACTTCTTTCTTTGGCCATGCCCATCATATTCAACAGAAAAATTCAAAATTAGGGAAAAAATATATAATAACCTAGCACTGCCAACCAATTCAATTCAGAAAAAGAAAATACAAAGAGACAATAAAATTAACTTACTAAATTTAATCTTGAAAAGGGATACTGCTGGCAAGTACACTCCAATCGCTGATGTTTCTTGGTTTCCATCAAAGCCAAGATTTAGTACAAGTCATATTCTGAAGTTTTATGAGTGAGTGGCTCAAAACAGTTTTTTAATCCACTGGGTTTGTTTACAACATTAACAAAACCAGGGACATTAACAACTGGTACCACTTACACTACCTATTCAGAATGTGACTTGACTGCATCGACAATGTCCATTTCTCTCTTGGGCCATGCTCATTATATCCAACTGAAAAATTCAAAATCAGGGAAAAAACAATATAATAACCTAGCACTGCCCATCATATTCAATTCAGAAACAGAAAATTACAAAGAGACAATAAAATAAACTTACTATCTTTACTCTTGAAACGGTATAATGCTGGCAAGTACACTTCAATCGCTGATGTTTCTTGGTTTCCATCAAAGCCAAGATTTAGTACAAGTCATATTCTGAAGTTTTATGAGTGAGTGGCTCAAAACAGTTTTTTAATCCACTGGGTTTGTTTACAACATAAACAAAACCAGGGACATCCACAACTGGTACCACTTACACTACCTATTCAGAATGTCACTTGACTGCATCAACAATGTCCACTTCTCTCTTGGGCCATGCTCATTATATCCAACTGAAAAATTCAAAAATAGGGAAAAAACAATATAATAACCTAGCACCGCCCCTCATATTCAATTCAGATACAGAAAACACAAAGAGACAATAAAATTAACTTACTAAATTTAATCTTGAAAAGGGATACTGCTGGCAAGTACACTCCAATCGCTGATGTTTCTTGGTTTCCATCAAAGCCAAGATTTAGTACAAGTCATATTCTGAAGTTTTATGAGTGAGTGGCTCAAAACAGTTTTTTAATCCACTGGGTTTGTTTACAGCATAAACAAAACCAGGGACATTAACAACTGGTACCACTTACACTACCTATTCAGAATGTGACTTGACTGCATCAACAATGTCCACTTCTCTCTTGGGCCATGTTCATTATATTCAACTGAAAAATACAAAATTAGGGGAAAAAAACAATATAATAACCTAGCACTGCCCATCATATTCAATTCAGAAATAGAAAATACAAATAGACAGTAAAATTACTTTACTATCTTTAATCTTGAAAAGGGATACTGCTGGCAAGTACACTTCAATCGCTGATGTTTCTTGGTTTCCATCAAAGCCAAGATTTAGTACAAGTCATATTCTGAAGTTTTATGGGTGAGTGGCTCAAAACAGATTTTTAATCCACTGGGTTTGTTTACAGCATAAACAAAACCAGGGACATTAACAACTGGTACCACTTACACTACCTATTCAGAAGGTGACTTGACTGCATCAACAATGTCCACTTCTCTCTTGGGCCATTCTCATTATATCCAACTGAAAAATACAATATAAGAAAAAAATTATAATAACCTAGCACTGCCCCTCATATTCAATTCAGAAACCGAAATTTACAAAGAGAAAATGAAATTTACTTACTATCTTTAATCTTGAAAAGGGATACTGCTGGCAAGTACACTTCAATCGCTGATGTTTCTTGGTTTCCATCAAAGCCAAGATTTAGTACAAGTCATATTCTGAAGTTTTATGAGTGAGTGGCTCAAAACAGTTTTTTAATCCACTGGGTTTGTTTACAACATAAACAAAACCAGGGACATTCACAACTGGTACCACTTACACTACCTATTCAGAATGTGACTTGACTGCATCAACAATGTCCACTTCTCTCTTGGGCCATGCTCATTATATCCAACTGAAAAATTCAAAATTAGGGAAAAAACAATATAATAACCTAGCACTGCCCATCATATTCAATTCAGAAAAAGAAAATACAAAGAGACAATAAAATTAACTTACTAAATTTAATCTTGAAAAGGGATACTGCTGGCAAGTACACTCCAATCGCTGATGTTTCTTGGTTTCCATCAAAGCCAAGATTTAGTACAAGTCATATTCTGAAGTTTTATGAGTGAGTGGCTCAAAACAGTTTTTTAATCCACTGGGTTTGTTTACAGCATAAACAAAACCAGGGACATTAACAACTGGTACCACTTACACTACCTATTCAGAATGTGACTTGACTGCATCAACAATGTCCACTTCTCTCTTGGGCCATGCTCATTATATTCAACTAAAAAGTACAAAATTCAAAATTAGGGAAAAAACAATATAATAACCTAGCACTGCCCATCATATTCAATTCAGAAATAGAAAATACAAAGAGACAGTAAAATTACTTTACTATCTTTAATCTTGAAAAGGGATACTGCTGGCAAGTACACTTCAATCGCTGATGTTTCTTGGTTTCCATCAAAGCCAAGATTTAGTACAAGTCATATTCTGAAGTTTTATGAGTGAGTGGCTCAAAACAGTTGTTTAATCCACTGGGTTTGTTTACAGCATAAACAAAACCAGGGACATTAACAACTGGTACCACTTACACTACCTATTCAGAATGTGACTTGACTGCATCAACAATGTCCACTTCTCTCTTGGGCCATGCTCATTATATCCAACTGAAAAATTCAAAATTAGGGAAAAAACAATATAATAACCTAGCACTGCCCATCATATTCAATTCAGAAACGGAAAATACAAAGACACAATAAAATTAACTTACTATCTTTAATCTTGAAAAGGGATACTGCTGGCAAGTACACTTCAATCGCTGATGTTTCTTGGTTTCCATCAAAGCCAAGATTTAGTACAAGTCATATTCTGAAGTTTTATGAGTGAGTGGCTCAGAACAGTTTTTAATCCACTGGGTTTGTTTACAACATAAACAGAACCAGGGACATTCACAACTGGTACCACTTACACTACCTATTCAGAATGTGACTTGACTGCATCAACAATGTCCACTTCTCTCTTGGGCCATGCTCATTATATCCAACTGAAAAATTCAAAATTAGGGAAAAAACAATATAATAACCTAGCACTGCCCATCATATTCAATTCAGAAAAAGAAAATACAAAGAGACAATAAAATTAACTTCCTAACTTTAATCTTGAAAAGGGATACTGCTGGCTAGTACACTTCAATCGCTGATGTTTCTTGGTTTCCATCAAAGCCAAGATTTAGTACAAGTCATATTCTGAAGTTTTATGAGTGAGTGGCTCAAAACAGTTTTTTAATCCACTGGGTTTGTTTACAACATTAACAAAACCAGGGACATTAACAACTGGTACCACTTACACTACCTATTCAGAATGTGACTTGACTGCATCAACAATGTCCACTTCTCTCTTGGGCCATGCTCATGATATCCAACTGAAAAATTCAAAATTAGGGAAAAAACAATATAATAACCTAGCACTGCCCATCATATTCAATTCAGAAAAAGAAAATACAAAGAGACAATAAAATTAACTTCCTAACTTTAATCTTGAAAAGGGATACTGCTGGCAAGTACACTTCAATCGCTGATGTTTCTTGGTTTCCATCAAAGCCAAGATTTAGTACAAGTCATATTCTGAAGTTTTATGAGTGAGTGGCTCAAAACAGTTTTTTAATCCACTGGGTTTGTTTACAACATAAACAAAACCAGGGACATTAACAACTGGTACCACTTACACTACCTATTCAGAATGTGACTTGACTGCATCAACAATGTCCACTTCTCTCTTGGGCCATGCTCATTATGTCCAACTGAAAAATTCAAAATTAGGGAAAAAACAATATAATAACCTAGCACTGCCAACCATATTCAATTCAGAAAAAGAAAATACAAAGAGACAATAAAATTAACTTACTAACTTTAACCTTGAAACGGGATACTGCTGGCTAGTACACTTCAATCGCTGATGTTTCTTGGTTTCCATCAAAGCCAAGATTTAGTACAAGTTATATTCTGAAGTTTTATGAGTGAGTGGCTCAAAACAGTTTTTTAATCCACTGGGTTTGTTTACAGCATAAACAAAACCAGGGACATTCACAACTGGTACCACTTACACTACCTATTCAGAATGTGACTTGACTGCATCAACAATGTCCACTTCTCTCTTGGGCCATGCTCATTATATCCAACTGAAAAATTCAAAATTAGGGAAAAAACAATATAATAACCTAGCACTGCCCATCATATTCAATTCAGAAACGGAAAATACAAAGACACAATAAAATTAACTTACTATCTTTAATCTTGAAAAGGGATACTGCTGGCAAGTACACTTCAATCGCTGATGTTTCTTTGTTTCCATCAAAATCAAGATTAAGTACAAGTCATATTCTGAAGTTTTATGGGTGAGTGGCTCAAACCAGTTTTTAATCCACTGGGGTTGTTTACAGCATAAACAAAACCAGGGACATTAGCAACTGGTACCACTAACACTACCTATTCAGAATGTGACTTGACTGCATCAACAATCTCCACTTCTCTCTTGGGCAATGCTCATTATATTCAACTGAAAATACAAAATTAGAAATAGACAATATGATAAATTTGCAACCTTGACTCCTTGTACAGTTGGCAAGAAGACTTTAACTGCTTTTGTTTCTTGGCTTCCATCAAAGTTAAGATTTAGTACAAGTCACATTCTGAAGTTTTATGAGTGAGTGGCTCAAAACAGTTTTTAATCCATTGGGTTTGTTTACAGCATTTACCAAACCAGGGAAATTTGCAACTGGTACCACTTACACTACCTCTTTGGCAGTGTCATCATATTCAATTCAAACAAAATTACAAAGAGACAATAAAATTAACGTACTGTTTTAAAACAGGGTACTGCTGGCAAGTACACTGCAATCGCTGTTGTCTCTTGGTTTCCATCAAAGCCGATATTTAGTACAAGTCACATTCTGAAGTTTTTTGAGTGAGTGGCTCAAAACAGTTTTTTAATCCACTGGGTTTGTTTAAAGCATAAACAAAACCAGGGACATTAGCAACTGGTACCACTAACACTACCTATTCAGAATGTGACTTGAGTACACCAACAATGTCCATTTCTCTCTTGGGCCATGTTCATTGTGTTCAACTGAAAAATACAAAATTAGGGAAAAAAACAATATAATAAGCTAGTACCGCCCAATATCTTCAATTCAGAAACAGAAAATTACAAAGAGACAATAAAATTAACTTACTATCTTTACTCTTGAAACGGTATAATGCTGGCAAGTACACTTCAATCGCTGATGTTTCTTGGTTTCCATGAAAGCCAAGATTTAGTACAATCATATTCTGAAGTTTTTTTGAGTGAGTGGCTTAAAACAGTTTTTTTAATCCACTGGGTTTGTTTACAGCATAAACAAAACCAGGGACATCCACAACTGGTACCACTTACACTACCTATTCAGAATGTGACTTGACTGCATCAACAATGTCCACTTCTCTCTTGGGCCATGTTCATGATATTGTACTAAAAAATACAAAATAAGAAAAAAAAACAATATAATAACCTAGCACCGCCCCTCATATTCAATTCAGATACAGAAAACACAAAGAGACAATAAAATTAACTTACTAAATTTAATCTTGAAAAGGGATACTGCTGGCAAGTACACTCCAATCGCTGATGTTTCTTGGTTTCCATCAAAGCCAAGATTTAGTACAAGTCATATTCTGAAGTTTTATGAGTGAGTGGCTCAAAACAGTTTTTTAATCCACTGGGTTTGTTTACAGCATAAACAAAACCAGGGACATTAACAACTGGTACCACTTACACTACCTATTCAGAATGTGACTTGACTGCATCAACAATGTCCACTTCTCTCTTGGCCCATGCTCATTATATTCAACTGAAAAATACAAAATAAGAAAAAAAACAATATAATAACCTAGCACTGCCCATCATATTCAATTCAGAAATAGAAAATGAGACAATAAAATTAACTTACTAAATTTAATCTTGAAAAGGGATACTGCTGGCAAGTACACTCCAATCGCTGATGTTTCTTGGTTTCCATCAAAGCCAAGATTTAGTACAAGTCATATTCTGAAGTTTTATGAGTGAGTGGCTCAAAACAGTTTTTTTAATCCACTGGGTTTGTTTACAGCATAAACAAAACCAGGGACATTAACAACTGGTACCACTCACACTACCTATTCAAAATGTGACTTGACTGCATCAACAATGTCCACTTCTCTCTTGGCTTCAATCTGTTTAATGCTTGCAAGTAGCCTTTAATTAATGTTGTTTCTATCACAACCAAGAGAACGCCCATTCCTGGCTAAAATATTGCTGACTCGGCATTTAACAATAATCAATTAGTTAGAACCAAGATTTAGTATAAGTCACATTCTGAAGTTTTATGAGTTGGTGGTTTAAAACATTTTATCCACTAAGTTTTAGTACACCATAGACAAAAGCACGGATATCAGTAGCCGGTGCCATTTCCTTTTCCCATTTTTGGTTAATCTCGCAAATGGAAACATGTTTTTTTTTAAGTACAGTGGCGTGCCAAAAGTGAAGATAATTTTATTTTTTCTCTATATATTTCATTGAAAACAACATTTTATAAAATCATAGGTAAATGGTCAATTTTTGTCCAAATTTAATTATTTATTTCAGTACTTAATCCAGAAAATGTGTAGTTATCTTTCTTTAAAAGATCATTACACCTTTAAATATGTAGTAAAATATAGTTCATCACTAAACATCAGTTCTAAAATTCAAGATCAATGTTGACTATATTGTGAGTATATGACTTAAAAATTCATGTCACACTAAAATTACAATATATTTAAATTATCAACGCTTATCAGATAAAAACTTGTTTTTTTTTAACTACAACAATGTCTTGGATTATCAAGAAATTTTTGATAAAATCTGTCAAGAAATGTTGTCATACCAGTGATTTTACAAAATATTGTTTTCAATGAAATATATAAAGAAAAAATAAAATTATCTTCACTTTTGGCACACAACTGTATATACATTTTACAATCTGGACATTTTAAACATCATTCCAGCAGTGATATTTTAGTCCATAAATAGTATCGTCTGTTTATACATGTGTAATGCAAAAAAAAAAAAAAAAAATTCTAATTCAACTATGTGTGTAATAAACAAAAACAAAAAAAAAAACAAAAAAAAACAAACAAAAAAAAAACCAACAACAACAAATCCAACAGTTATTCTAAAGTGTATCGTGATATGATTTTCTCTTAAGGTTTCGGAGTTTTGTAGCTGCAGAAATATGGCGTTATGGTTTTATGTATTAGTATTTGACCATAACTGGTCTAATATATAAAACCATAACGCTACAGTTCTGCAGCTAGGAGTTTGGATACTGTGAGTCATTTCATGGCAATACATTCAGACTCCTCTGAAAACCAGTTTTCTGTATGTAAACAATACATGAAATTTTGATGATTTCCTGTGTTATGTTGAATAAAAATTATAAAAATAAAAAATGAACACTGATATAAAACGCATTATTATATCTCAAACCTGTTGTTCTCTTTCATGTTCCTATTTTCAAACATCTCCTTCTTTCCGTGCATCCGTAGCCTTCGCGGCCTACAACTCCTGTGAAGTCATGGTAACAGTATCCGGGTTATTTCTATAAGTAACGGTCGGAGCGGATACGGTATAATGATAATCCGGAATTTTAAAAGAGATATTTTTAGAAAAAAAATCATCAAAAAATAATGATAACCAATAAAATATAGATTTAAGCAACTGATTAAATATTAAAAATATTTGCCTTAAAAAACGTAATTAGGTTGATAGAGTAGCTGCGAGTTTGACTAGTCTAGTTCAACATGTTCATCAACTTATTTCCCATTCTCTATCCAG